AATTGTGGGGCCCCGCGGCGGGGCCCCCCTTCCAAACCAAATTGCCCCTTTATCTTTTCCTATTGTTTCTTCTCACGTTTTGTATTTTTTTGAATAACAAGAGAGAGGTGGCCAGGGTCGATGACCATGTCAATGAATATGCTGTAGGCTGCCTACAATCGATTGCTCGTCTTCGTCGCGTACGAATTCGTGGGCTTAGGGCTTAGGGTTTAGGGTTTCTTGTTTAGGATTGGGGGATTCCATGGCTTTGTTCTCCTATGGAGGATTCCTGTGCTCTCGAGGAGTCCTGTTGGACTCCTTTGCCGCCAGGAGATCCGTTGCTGTGTGAGGCGCTGCAGCTGCTACTGCACTTCGTCTACTCCCCAGATGCAACAGCAGCAACAGCTACAGCAGCTGTCTCAGCACCAGCACCAGAAGCAGCTGCTGCTGCCTCGCCTGCAGGAGAGAAGCTGTTTTGTAGCTCTCTGACGCCCAGGGTCCCTTCACCGCAGGTGACTGAGTCGCTGAACTCGCTGTTCAAAAATGCAGCAACAGCAGCAGCAGCAGCAGCAGAAGCTGCAGGCCCCCTTGGGGTGGCAAACAGCAACCAAAGATTTGACAGCCAGTGGGTGCAAAGCCTTTGGAAAGTTCACTTCAGGCAGCACCTCGACCCCAGGTGCCGCGCCCTTGCATCGAGATCTGCTGCTGCAACGAGTGGAATCGATGGCGACTTGCAAGTCATGCAGCACCTCGAAAGCCTGCAGCTGTTTGCTGCCTGCCTAATGCAGGCAGCAGAGAACCTTGCGAAGGCTCGGACAGCAGCCAAGGCAGCACCAGCAACGGAGCCTTCAGCAGCAGCAGCGGCAGCAGAAGAAACAACCACAACTACAGCAACTGCAGGAAGGCAGAGCCGCCCGTCACCTGCAGCAGAAGAGGAGCGCGCTAAGCTGCTTTTATTGCCCCCTCATGCTGCCGCAGTTGCTGCGGTGTACGCGCAGCTGTGTTGTCTTTGGCTTAATCAGCTAATGCACCAGGAGCAACAGCTGCTGATGGATCATCGCCAGGCCAGCGGAATAGAGGGGAAACTTCAGCGTATCTTACGGATGGTGCAGCGGGTCCTTCTTCTTCTTTCTCCCCTCACTGTGTACTCACCAGACGGCAGCTGCAACAGCAGCAGCAGCAGCAGCAGCAACAGCAGCAGCAGAAGCAGCAGCGCAGCAGTTGCCACCTGTTCCTCAGCACTGCTCTGTACTTGCTGGAGTGTGGCCGCTAAGCAGCAGATGCAGGAGCCTTCAGAGCAGCAGCAGCAGCAGCAGCAGCGAGACACTCCTGGTGCAACTGTGGCCTTATGCTTTGCCCGCCGTTTCCTACGGGGCCTCTTCCCTGCTGCAACTTTGACATGTGTCACTGAAAATGCAACAGCAGCAGCAGCAACAGCAGCAGCAGCAACAGCAGCAGCAGCAGCAGCAGCAGCAGCAGCAGCAGCAGCGCAAGGCACGAGTAAACGAGACAACGCCGCACTTCTGAGGCAGTTTGCGGCGTTTACTTTAACAGAGGCCCCCCGCGACGCGCTTTTGCAGTCCATTAGGCAGCAGGCACAGCAGCAGCAGCAGCAGCAGCTGTTGCTGCTGCTGGAGCATCAAGATGTATCTCTACTGGAGGGGCCACTGCAGCTTTGCGTCTCCACTTTGTTGCAGTCGCAAGGGGACAACCCGACAGCAGCAGCAGCAGCAGCAACAGCAACAGCAGCAGCAGCAGCAGCGGAAGGCCTTAGTTGGGGCATTTCCACTCTCGGGCCTCATTTATGGAGGCTCCCATGCGTGCAGCATTTGCTTTTTGGCTCCTCTGTGCAACAGGAGCCAGCGCAGCAGCAGAAGCAGCAGCAACAGCAGCAGCAGCAAGAATCGCTCGGAAAGCAACAGGAAGGAGAGCAAGGGGGGCAGCACCGGCTATTCTGGCGGTTGCTGGATCTGCTGCAGCATCAGCAGTATGTAGCGGCTTCGATCCCTGTGGCGTCGTTGTTTGTGCAGCTGCTGCTAGACAGCCACTTCTGGAGACGGGGGGCCCCTGAAGTTTTGGGGGCCCCTGAGGGGTCACCGCACTGCTGCCGGGGGCTGCTGATTTGCCTTGTGCTCGAGCTGCTGACTGAACAGGGGGAAAGGCAAAGGAAGGCTGCGTTGCAGCTGTTGCAGTGTTTACAAACAACTCCAGCTGCAGCAACTGCAGCTGCTGCAGCAGCTGCTGCAGCGGAGCGGCTGTGGAAGGTCTTTGACCGCATCAAGCCACTCGCCAAGACAGCTCTGCTGCGCTCCTTGCTGCTGCAGCAGCACGAGCTGGCAGCCAAAGGGAGCAGGGGTGCCTTGAGGCAGCAGCAGCAGGCAAATGACAGGCCGAATACTTGCTGCTGTGCATACACGTCGCCGGAGGGGCAGCTGCAGCAGCTGCAGCTGCAGCTGCGCTGCATTCGTGCCGTGACAGAGGCAGAAGTGGAACTGGATGAGGACTGCAAGTTGCTGCTGCTGCAGCTGTGGCTACAACAGGCTCCCCAAGCCCAGCTGATGCAGCTACTGCAGCAGCAACAACAACTTGATTTCGTTGCAGACGAAGCTCTACGCGGCTGGCAGCACCACCGACGGACTGTACACACTGCTGCTCGTTCCCTTTGGGCATTGATGCAGCAGCGCTGCTCTGAAGGGGTCGCTGCAGCAGCAGGATCAACCAGCAGCAGCAGCAGCAGCAACAGCAGCAACAGCAGCCTGGATTTGTTGGTTACCCTTTGCAAGCGGCTATTCTGTTTACCTATATCCTGCAGGAAGACTTTGTATCAGGCCCTCGCTTCTCTGGTGCATGCATTGGGAGCTTCTCGTGTGCTGCAGCTGCAGCCCTATCTGCTGCACCACCTGCTGTCACAGCTGCAGAACAGGTCTCTGCGTTCGGCTGCTATGCTGGCTCTGCGTGCCCTGTGTGAAGACCTCAGCAAGCAAGACAGACAGCAGCAGCAGCAGCAGCAGCGACGGCAGCAGCAACAACAGCAGCAGAAGCAAAAGGGAAAAGGAAGCACCCAGACGGCCCACCGCGAACGCATACAGCAGCTCTGTCTTTTCCCCTCGACGAGCCTTCGGACCTTCTTGCTGGGCCCCCTACAACACGCTTTGACGGCAAGCAGCAGCAGCAACTGCTGCAGTGAAACAGGCCTGCTACAGCAGCAGCAACACCAAGAGGAACAGCAGCAGCAAGGGCCTCGGGAGTACGCGCTGTTGGTGCCCGTTCAGCTGCCAGCAACAGCAGATGCCTCTCCTGGTGAGGCCCTAGACGAGACGATGCTACCGTTCCTGCTGCGGCTGGAGCCTTCTGCAGCAGCCCCGTTGCTGCTGTGTCTCCGTGAGCAGCTACCGCTGGAGGCGATCGAAGCCACAGCAGCAAGAACAGCAACAACGGCAACAGCAGCGGGAGCACCACTGTCAGAGGCAGCGACAGTAGCAACAACGACAGCAGCAGCAGCAGCAGCAGCAGCAGCAGCAACCGATGAGCGCCTGGATAGCGTTGCAGTGGGTTGCGCTCTGTCTTCTCTTGGGGGCCCTGGGAGGCCCTGGAGCCCCAGTGAGGCGGCGCTGCTGGCAGCAGCGAGAGCTGCGGGGCTCGCGGCATGGGAGGACACAGTGGAGCTTCAGGAGGTAGCGCACGCTTGCTGCAGCAGCAGCTCCAGATGCAGCTGCTGCGGCTATAGGAGTTGCGGGTGTAGGGGCTCGTGCTGCGCTGCAGCTGCCCTAGTAGTTCGCGGCTGCAGCAGCACAGCTACTCCTATTTGCTACAGTGTGTCTGCTGGGCGGCTGCGTCTGGGGCTGAGCAGCGGACAGCGACGGCAGCGCATGAGGCTGCTGGAGGCGTTGACTGTGCATGCGCAATCGACAGCAGCACCAAGATGCCAGGAGCTGCAACTGTTGCTGTTTGCTGCAGGGCAGCAGCTGCGATTGGGATCGGCAGCAGAACGATCCCAGTTTGTTGCGGCTTACGAACGGATACTCCTCAGAGCCCGCAATGCGTTTAGAGTGCAACTCACAGCACAGACAGATGCCACTATACAGGCGCTTGCACGCAGCGGCTGTTGCTGCTGCAGGCCCCAGCACCAGCACCAGCAGCAGCAGCAGCAGCAGCAACG